TTCTATATAGTTATATATATATATATAGTTTGAAGCTGTCTTTGAAGAGTCGAAAGGGAAGTTTGGACGAGAAACCGCGAAGAATGTCGGCGAAAGTATCTCGCGGAACGAGGAAGGCGTGCTGCGGAGGACTAAATATAATATAATAAAAATGATATAATAAAGCAATAAATATAAAAGCATAATAAAATTATAAATATAAATTAATAAATGTAAAATAGCGATGAAGGAAGGCTGAGGATGTGAAGTAACGCTGAGGATGTGAAGCGGAGCCTATTCCTCTACACGAGGGAACAGTCCTGGGAATTTGCGTGCGGACTTCGTTTTTGGCATTGGATATTTATTTTCGCAAATTATTATTACTAGTATTAGTATTCATTCGTGTCACCCTTATCGTTTTCGCGATGTTTTCGGTTGGCAACCTCCCCATTGTTGGGATTTCCCTGACGTCAGTTGCGTCGTCTGCTACGTCTTTGATCATCCTCCACAGTAAAAAAAAAATTTTTAATGCAATAAAATTTTAAAAAAGCAATAACAGGAATAAATATAAATAACATAAATAACATAAATAAAAAAATAACAAATAACAAATAATAAAAAATAACAAATAATAAAAAATAACAACTAAAAAAATAAAAATAATAACATGAATAATAATAAATAGCAAAAATTATAATTTAAAATAGTTTAATGTCCCCGGAAGCCAGGATGAGGGGGAATGAGCTTCAGGCTGGGTTGGGAGTGGAAGCCATTGAGAATTGCTTATTCACGCTCCTTGAGGCTTTTCACACCGAATTTTCCTCGGTCCTCCGCGCCTCTTGTCGAGATGATGAATGCGCATTCCGCGCTTTCAACTTGCGGGGATGGGTTTTTGCTCGGTGAAGGTCGATAGACCCCGCTGGGTCGACCGATTCGTGTCGGCCTTTGAGGAATCGGGGAGGGAAGGGAAAGGAATCGGGGAAAAATACTGAATTTTTTTTTTAAATTTCCGTGAAATCAAATTTTCGAATTTCTGGATTGTAAAAGGGAACGCCGATCGGCAGGAAGTCGTTCAGCGTTCGCTCCTGCTTCGGATGGAGACAAGGAAGCTTCCTCGCTCCCCTCTTGGTCCCCCCTCTTGGTCCTCCCTCTTGCCCCCCTTTGAGACTCCGCTTTCGTCTTCCTCCTCCGGTTCCCAGCGTCTCCCGCCCCTTCGCGAAGTTCATCCATCTTCCACCTTCCCCTCCTCCGTCGTAATGAGCCCTCCACCTCCACCTCCTTCTCCACCTCCACCTCCACCTCCACCTCCACCTCCACCTCCTTCTCCACTTCCGCTTCTCTTACTTTTTCTTGCAATATATTTTACTCATTCATAATTTTTAAATCTTTCTTTGTTCATTTCAGACTTAAAAATCGAAGATATTTTTGATGACGTCATACCGGCCATTGGAATTGGCATTGGCCGTGTAGATGTGCAATTGGCCCTGAATGATTTCTGGGAATGTCGACCGAGGAAAGAAACACGACATTCCTGGGAAGCGCGTTGACATTCCTGGGAAGATAAAAAAAAACGCGACGCCTGTCGCGCTTAATGAGGCCTCATTTTGTTCTTATCACCGGTTTATCACAATTATTAATATATCACAGGAGGTGATAAAGGTACACGACATTAAAAAATGCAGCAAGGCTTCTGATTTTTTTTTTTATTTCCCTGGGATAAATTTTAGCTAAAACACAAAAAAAATTGCCCTACATGATTTCAAATTACGTTAAAACTAGGAAAAAGAATTTGAAAAAAAATTTCATTCTTAAAATCAACATAATTTTCGAATTTAAATATTTAAATAAATAAATAAATTCGTCCACGGTTTTCCACGGTTTTCTCTTAATTCTTTCGGCGAAAGGAAATTTATTATTATTACTTCATCGCTATTTTACATTTATTAATTTATATTTATAATTTTATTATTATTTTATATTTATTGCTTTATTATATCATTTTTATTATATTATATTTAGTCCTCCGCAGCACGCCTTCCTCGTCCCGCGAGATACTTTCGCCGACATTCTTCGCGGTTTCTCGTCCAAACTTCAAACTTCAAACTATATATATATATATATATAACTATATAGAAATACAAATAATTGAAATTACTTTTTTTTACCGTTTTTTACCATCATCGAATCAGGTACCGTGGTGGCATGATATATTTAATGTATACCATTTAATTGTGATAAAATACCGAGCATATCACCTGTGAGTTGAAATAAAAATTTCCATGAATTTTCTTGTCTCGTGTCTTCTTGGTTTTTTTTATTTATTCATTCATTAATTGTAGAGAGTAAAAGAGGAGGCACGAGGAGATTGCTCGGAGCAATCTCTTCCGTGCCCTCGAGTGGGGCTTCAAAGCGGCAGGAGAAGAGGGGGAGAGGTTGAGGGTGAGGGGGGTCTATAGGGATGGTGGAGGTCTATAGGGATGGTGGAGGTTTATAGGAGTGGTGGAGGTCTATAGGGATGGTGGAGGTCTATAGGGATGGTGGAGGTTTATAGGAGTGGTGGAGGTCTATAGGGATGGTGGAGGTCTATAGGGATGGTGGGGGGAGAATATTTTATCTAAAAAATGCAGAGTAATCTGGATCAATGTCCCCCTGCGTTATTTGCTCCTGAAGGACGCCGGGGACAAGTGGTTCTAAATACTCCTAAGACAAGTGGCCCCTAAATGCCCCTCTTCACCCTGCAGACCTCTCTGGAATTGAATGCATGCAAATCGATGCAAATCCGCCGTGAGAGAGGGACGAACCCCCGGGGGGGGGCGTTCTCACGAATTGAAATCGGGGAAAAACGCGGCAGGTGGGAGATTCGAATGGAATCGGAATTGGATGCTTGAGACTCTCACGAAATTTGCTTATGAATGAGCTTTGCTTTTTTTTTTTTCAAAGAAATTTATGCAGTTTTTTTTTCTTCCGAAGGGCTTCAATCTCAGTTCATTTGCATGCAAATAGTGTTTCACGTAAATAATATAAATAATACAAAGTAAATAATATAAATAAATGTGAAGTCAATTCCAAAAAAAAGACGATTCGAAAATTTTGCGGGCTGAAAGTTCAAACAATTTCCTCGAATAAACCCAAACCGACTGGGAAATACGAGGAATTGGCAAGGCAAGAATCAAATTTTCGAATTTTCGTAGAATTTTCTTCAATATGGAAAATACTTATTTATTTTCATTTTCATTTTATTCATATTTATTTTATGCTGAAAAGTTGGTTGGTCCCAGGGTTACGTTGAACACTGGCATGAACTGGAAAAAATTTTAAAATCTGGAAAACTGCAAAAAAAATGGCAGATTTTTTTTCCGCTCTCTAGGAGCCAATGAAACGAACTCAAATTTCCGCAGGCGCCGCAATACGACCCGAGACGGAAGAAATTCCGTGACTCGGCGTTTTCACGGCGAGGATGGCCGTTCACCTTCGTTGCGTCTCAGCTGATGCTCGTTAGCATCAGCCGAGACGTTAGCACTGGGGAAATATATTTTTGAGCAGAACAAATAAACAGGATCAAACGATTGCCATTTTTTTTTCCTTTCGGCATTTTACAAGTTTCCACCTGTAGCTTTGAACGATAGATCTAAGTTTATGTTTTACGAATGGAAAGTGAATTCCAACTTTAATTCACAAGAGTAGAATTATTAAGATTAGTCTCGAATTAGTGAATTTGCACATGCAATTTCAGACGACAGATGTGCAAACTTATTTTTTGTTTCGAGATCTGTGGTTTCGGCACGGCATTTGGTCTGTTCTTGGTGCATGTAATGGAGCAGATGCGTGATGGAGAAATGCGATTAGCAGGGACATTTTTGGCACAGATCGTATTGCATATCTGATGGCAGTCATCTTGGCTGCAGCATCGTGCAAAAAGTGCTGTGATGATGTCGAGTATTTAATTAAGGTAAATCAATTAGCAACTCTCATGGTACTTACGAATGCTAGCCCTGTGTAACTTCACTGGTCAAGGCAAATGAAATTAAGTAAGTTTTACCCATAAGTTACCATTAGAAGAAATTAACATTTTGTAAAAAGCGAGCATTTGCTCGAGACTGATGGGATTTCTGTCAAACATCATCCATGAATGAGCATTCACATTAGACTTAACTCATCATTTGGAGTCTGCAGGCAGTTTTGCATGACTGTCAGGTTTGAATTCAAGATGGAAAAGTTTCAGGACTCATAAAATGGCCCAGAAGGCCAGAGTACAAAGCAGTACAAGTACCACAATGGTACTTGTGGTCAATTCAGGCACTGAAATAATACTGAAATTAATTAATATGAGAATCACCTCCATGCATGATTAATCATCGATAGAAGCATCCATCAGTCACCTGGTGTAAGCATATTAAGCATATATGGCAACTAGCAGAAACTGCTTCTGAACTTGGATTTGAACAGTTATGGATATAGTGAGAGTGGTAGCCCTGGAAATGGTTTTCCACACCTCTACCTTAAATGCAGTATGTCCTGCATTCATCAGCTCAGAAATATTTAAGCTCACAAAATTTTTTTTTGCCAACTTCATCTGTAAGTACATTCTTGCTTTAAGGGTTTGACTAACATTTTTGCAATAAGATCATACTTGTAGAAGTCAAAGCAGATATACTTAAGTGCATATTAAAAAAAACTGTGTATGTGTGTAATATATGATCAGGAAAGCCAGGAAGTTTACAAGAAGCGCTAGTTGAATATCAAAGAAAAAATAAATAAAAACTAACTGCAGCCAAGCAACTCCAAACTTCAAAAGAGAATCATTTCATTCAAAAAAATTAGGAGTCCACCAAATTATAGGAAGAATCTCCTCCTGCTAGTGTCCATTTCGCCCCGCTTGTGTATCCATTCGTATTCTCCTCCTTGGGTGTTGAAGGTGCCCTTCTGAAGAGAGCGCAGCTTCAACGTGAAGCGGGGTCCGAGTTCGTACAATGCCGTCTTCTTTCCGTTTTTGAACTCGTATCTGTTGGGGGAAAAAGAGGAATGCCGTGAGTCAAGGAAACCGGTTCAGGATAAGGTAAGGCAGCCAAAGAGGCCAACACCAAGAAAAAAACATAATAAATGGCCCAAATAAATTCCAAGATGAGCCCATGATGAAAAAAAAGCTCCATGAGATTTGTGCACAATATTTCAGTATATTCTCTCCTTTCTGTAAAGTTCTACTCAGGAATTTTTAATGAATTCTATCATATCAGAGGCTTTTGTAGCAACTCACAAGTATATTCATCAATGGAATTCTCCTATTCTGTTATTTCAAGAGTGGAGAAATGAATCCAGATCCAAGTTAAGGGAGGACCCTGGGAACAAAGTTCAATTGCACCATCAGCTTTCCAACCATTCTGAGTTGCACAATGACAATACATGTGAAATGGATAGCAATCCTCCATCTAATCTTGGTGCTGTCATGCAGTTATCTATTTGAAACCAGGACATACAGGATCGTGCAACATCCCCTGCTCCAGATAAGCCCACTCAACATTCATGACCTGCTCTTCAGTGACAGGAAGGCATTGACACAGCAACCACCCCACAGATTCTTTGTAAGTCTGGTTGCAGTTACATAACCAGAGAATTCCTGAGTAGTTCATGATTTTTCAAACATAATTGTCAGTTATTTACCTACTTTTAATTGTTCTCTGGGTAAACTTGACAAGAATTAAATTGCTTTTGTCCATCATTGCAGGCAACTTCAACCCCAGTGATACACATGTTAGTATTACAGATTTCTCTGAACTACTGATACTGATGCCTTCAGCAAACACAAAATAAATACCAAGAAACCAGGATATGTAATTTGCAAATTTGTTGGAATCTGTCAAGAATGTTATAGAGGGGAAGATCATGAACCTCCATGGGTTAGGGTTGAAGAGGCTAAAATAATAAAAATAAGAAATTCAACCCATCACAGATATTCATTCCCAATTAACTTATTTTCTTCTGGTGAAAGCATTACAGTATGATGCTTGACTGTGCTGAGGCAGTAAAATGAATTCCATTGACAAAATCTACATCAACAAAATCATTTAAATATTGCTTGGCAAAGATGACAAATGGAGCAAGAGGAAGCACAGGCAAGGCAAAATAATAAAAATAAATTATGAAATATTGCAAAATGACAAATGGTACAAATTAAATGTGAAAAATTCAGTCTAATGTCAAATGAACTGCATCAATATTATTTGTAATATGAATATAAGTGTCTGAAAGGTGAGAAAATATTTCAATTCACATAATAACAGAACATAATTCACAACCTTTTGCCAAGTAAAATTACAGCAACAAATACTTTGAACCCATATCAATACTTATTCAATGACAGAGATCCAGGCACTGAGTTCATATGATGCTATTTATGGGCAGGAGAAAACTGAGCACTAGTGCAATGCAACTGTTCCAGGAAACTAATCCATGCAACCACACACGAGTGCTGCCATTTCCAAGTTGGTCAACAGACTCTCTCCCAGATAACTGCCCTGATCAAAACCATCGTTCTGTATCTTCATGACCTTCATGCAACCAAACAGGAACAATCTGTAAAGAGGGACCCCTGAAAACACTGCTCAGGTGACTCACCTGTGATGCCTGAAGAAGATGTAGTCCCGCTGGTTGTGGAAGGTGGCGACACGTCGCCCCTTGAACTCGGGGTCGTAGTGGAAGAGGGAAGCCAGCATGCGTGCGACCCGATGTCCCAAGCGGGTGGTGAAGCGGTTCAAGAGCACCTCGGGTCGGTGGTCTCCGAACGTGCCTCGGTTCCTCTTCAGATCGGCAGTCGTCTTCACGTTGCTCAGGCGGAAATGGGCTGTGGGGCCATCGGGTAGGTGGACCAGGAGGAGGCCATCTTCAGACTCCAAATCAAGGATTTATACAGTATGATTAAAGCCTGGCAATTCCCATTCAACAGTCTGCATTGCTTTGATCAAAGATGAGGAGTAGAACCATATTTCTTATGACAGCTCAGAAGTTTGCATTGCATCAAATAAAACTTCCCACTGGTGTAACACCATCTTGACTGGTCACTGATAGTGAAAGTGCAAAATGGCACTTAAGTAATAATGAGATCATTGACACATGGCAGGGAAACAATATTAATTTTGTACTTTTGAAAACACAAATTAGTTAAATGGAACAGAGAAACACAGAAAAATAATAATTCCAAAAATAAAATGACTATACATTATATAGGCAAAAGTATTGGGGCAAGCCTCCCTCTGCTGATAACAGATTGTCCCAGAGGTCATGTGGTAGGATGGCATTATTGTAAATGGTATTACAAGGGTTTTCCATTTATCTTGAGACCATGTGTGTACTGATTTCAAGGAAAACTGTGCAAATAATAATTTAGATTTCAGTTCAGCCAGACACATGTGAGTGCAACTGCACAGTCTGAACAACAAACAAATTAAGATCTTTGTGGAGTGAACAGTTGCACTCACACCTGTCTGGCTCAACATGGGGTGAATGGCTTTGCTGAATCACTGAGCTTGTAGTGGCTATCATCTCCACTCTTCACACTGATGGTGTGCAGTTGTGCTTCTTATCAGCCATGGATCCCCCTTCCTTAAATTAGGTGATTTACTGCAGAATAGTGGATTTACTGGGAGTCTCGTGTTTGAAATTCTCTTCTGAAAGTTCTCTGTACAGTCACTAGCGAGGGACTTTCACAATAATGTTCCACTATCCCTGTACAGTGTCCTAGGCTCCAGGGATCCATGGTCAAAAACTTAGCAGTATTATCTTCAATCTGAAATGAAAATCAAAATTATTATTTACACATTTTCCTTTAATGCTTTCATTGCTGAGTTATATTCAGAACCGCTGCTGAGAGTGGAAAAGGAGTACACTCAGAGCCACAGTGAAAGGGTTAAATCAACATTCTCATGGTCTCAAGCAGAGGTGGAAAAAGTTCTATAACCTGATAACCAGATTACTGGGAAGAGTAGCAACAGATTGGGAAGGCAAGGCAGGCAAAAACGAAATAAATAGCTTCCTAAACACAGGGTCATCTCTCCCACCTGCAAAACTGGGATGGTAAACCAAGGAAGCAGAGGAACATTTGCCACCTCTGGTCTCAAGATAAATGGAACACCCTCTATATAATGGTTTTCTGCAATCTGTTACAACTGGTGTTTGCAGGAAGGCATGTGGATTAGAGCTGATGGAGTTTGAACATGGGATGATAGTTGCTTTTCATGTCATCCTTTTGGCAATGTAGTGAATCTCTAAATTGCACCTTAAAGAACCCATGTCAAAGTTTTAGGACCATTGTTTACAAAAAAAAGAGCAATCCCCAGCACAATCATTGTAGCCTTCTACTCTTGAGTTCACGGGGAATATTGAACGAGGACCCATTTGCAGCAAAGGATACTCGGAATTTTCCTGTCTTCGTTGATGACAAGGACGTCCGTGTAGCCATTTGTCATGGCCCGGTGGATGGTACCTTTAACAGATGCACGCTTCCTGAAGAAGAATCTGCAGTTGGGGACTACAGTCATCAGGTCTCTGGCAAAGGCTCGTGTTTTCTGCAAGAAATAAAACATGCACAGGTTCATGGCAAGCAAGACCAGCATTCTTAACACTCGCATACAATGAATGGTGCGGCAATGAGCAAGGATGCCATTTTGAGTTCATACGTAACAGTCCCTCCTGGAAAGAATGAGAACTTAAACAACATCCAAGGTGGGAACAGGATTCTTTGGCAGGTTGAGAAGTGCACTGTCAAGATACTTCAAAGGGTCTTGCCAAAATTTTGCAATGGAAAAGTTTTCAAGATGTAAATGACCTTGTAAAAGGGTAAAGGCAGTGGTACAGTTCAACAAAAAATAAATAGCACACAATAGTGACAATTTTCTGAAAGATTGTCACTCTGCTAGTTTTCTACAAAGAAGTCTTTTCATTCTTGAACTATAGTGAGAAATGTACACCACAGAATCAGGTAACTGAAAGGAAGTAAAAAGGCAAAAAAATGCAGAGGATTTATGCACTGCTTTCACAGCTTTTATGATCATGGAATGTGCTATGGCACTTGAGAGCTACTTCTCTTTTGTGGGGTTGGGATAGGAGGTAACTAATCATGAAAATGCTGCATGGTAAGAGACCAATGCTTTTGTGAGGCTCCAGGTATTTTCTGGTTAAGTGTAGCATGGTGTAGAAGTATATGGCATGACCTAACATTTCCAGTTCCCAAACTTCTTTGAATTCCAACCCAATACCCTACTTCCAAAAACAAGTTAAGCCATGTCATCCTTCAAAACAATGCCTTTTTAATGAAATTAAATCAGTGCTCAAAATTTGATTTTTCTACAAGGAAGAACAAAGAAAGACAAAAGTGATAGTGATAATCCAAGTCAAGATCTCAGCCAATTTCATGCCTATCAGGTTTAGATCAATCCTACTCAAGCTTTCCCTTGACACAAACCTACATTTCAACATCCAAGCTGTTTCTGATGGAAAATTTCAACTGAGATTTTGAATCGAGGATCCTTCAGCTAGGATAGAACTCTATTTTCAGCTGCAATCCAGCTCCATAGCAGGACTGTAGCAGAAAAAGGCAAATTAAATTATTGTCATCCTGATTATAAATTTCAAGCTACTCCCTTCCTCAATTTTTCAACTAGAATTAGAAAGAGGAAAAATTATATCCTGTGAGATGTGTACATCCTAGCCTTTCAAGACACCACCAGTTAGAAGTGACCACATTCTGATAGCCACACATTCTGATTTTTCCATCGTGGGGTCAGTTCTCACAACCCAACTAAAAGCCTCTCACAACACACAGTGGTTTGAAAAGCACTGACCTAGCCCATAAACATGCACAACTATAGAACTCTGGTAGATATGGAACGGGTAGGAACAGGACAAACAGAGGAAGGTAGCTCCGAGGTAGTGATGACAACCCGAGGTTCCTTCTCCTTCCCGAAGTAGGTGGCCATTTCATCCCCAGCTTCTTCCACCTGGATCTCCTCATCCTCTGGCTCAGGAACGGTGACATCCTCCTCCCGCGTGTTTTCCAGAGTTCGTGGCTCCAACTTTGGGGGCGCTTCATCGCCGAGTTCTTCCCGCTCCTTCCTCCTCGTCCTCTGGCGCTCCTTCTTCAACTGAGACGAAAAATCATCAGAGTTGTATGAGATGCATTACATGGCAATGTCATAACAGTCTCTCAATGAGCAAATTACTCAATTGATTTCTCAATGTTAAGAGCATAAGAAAGAAGTGCTCTGTTGAAGGGCATCAAAAGGCCCTAACATTCTCCATAAATTCAACCTTATTTAAAACATTTTCACATAACCATTTCAGTTTGCATGGCCTCATTCATAAGGAATGATAAAATGGTTTATTTAATACCTGATTCCCAAGCAAGTGACTAGGCTATGCACCTACAGTTACATCTTTTCATTGCATCAGCAACACCTAACCCTCCATCAACCACTTACTTTCAGCATTAAGACATATCACACAGCAGGAGATGCCAATCTCAGGCTAAGTACAAAGAAAAGACACTCACTTTATGTTTCTCCAGTTTCAGCTTTTTCATCCTCTCAATCCTGGAGTGTTTTGTTCCACCTACTCCTATGAGCTTTGGCAGCTTTTTTTTCTTCTCCTCTCCCTCATTTTCTTCTTCGATCTTCACGTCTTCATCTTCGACCGAGTGAACTAGAGGTTGAACAGATCTAGATCCTTTGCTTTCTTTCATTTTTTTCCCCATCTCCCTTCTTTACCTACTAAAAATTATGGATAAAACAGTTCATTTTTAAACTCTAGGTTGAGGTAACAGCTAAAAAAAGAAAAAAATGGAACAACGGTGACCCTAATATGACCCATTCTACATACTGAAAATAGGGAACAGCATTAGGCCCTACTGGCAGCCAGAAACTACTAGATGCTGCTTTGAAGGACACTCAATAGCGTGTTTTGAAATTGGGCACTTAAACTCCAATTTACACTCCAACTTCCAAACTCAGTTATTTGGAATTATTTTGTTATGTAGTCAATATTTTGGCCTCAATAGGAGCAATCAAATGAATTTGTACAATCAGTGCACAAGGGTCCTTAGGATCCACAAATGGATTTCAACCAATACAATCATAAATAAATATTTTTTAGTTGAATAAGCAAGCAAACTGGACCTGTCAAACTTGAATTTAAGATTGAAACCAAAAGGTGAAAGTTTAGGCAATCGCACCAGCAAGAATATGATATGGTGGGGACTGGCTTCAATGTGTTCAATGATGTGAACAAAGTTAGGGGTTAAATAGATTAATTTTAAACGAGATTAGCATAGTTTATGCCAACATTTAGATTTCACACTTCACAACAGGAAAAGAAAATTGCACACAAACAAGGCTTATCCCTTAGAAAGCATATCCTTGGCTGTACTCAGGGTAAGAGGCCAACAGCACAATGCCAACAACCTAGGCCACATACCTCTGTTCTGCTTCCTCAAAAAGGCACTCGTGAAATAAATACACCTAATTAGATGTCAAGCAGTACCAAAATCACATTTTGTGCTGCACTAATAGGTTAAGGCTAATGTTCTAAAGGTTTCCACTAAGTTTTAAAAGCAGTGAACCTCTAAACTTTTGTTGATTCAACCATATGTCTCCCCCCGCCTATGATCGAAAGATATTGCCAACCGACAGCGGCTACCTGGCGATAATGCTGGAGATATGAAGGCTCATGTCTACTTTCCAAAAGCAGGATCTAATTAGCCTAATCTGCTCTTATTCTCAAGATATGGGCTCTAAGAGAACGTAGAGGAGAGGAAGGGTTTAAAAGAAGGACTAGATTAGGCGTAAAAATACTATAAAATAAAAAAAATACCTACTAGTCCTAGTAAAATATACTAGGACTAATATATTCACTTCAAATAATACCCATGGCGGTTAGACAGATCAATACATCGCAAATGTAGACTGTAATTTCACATACGGCATGCCTAGACCGTTTTCTTGATAGATGAAAAACGACGCCGAAGGGCTAACTCGGCCAGCACTACCGACGGCACCGCAGACTCGGCTGAACGCCACGTGAGGAACGAGCCCTGCCCCGTGCGGCACTGCAGGGCGCCATGCTGGAGCAGCAGTGGCTGGCTCGCAGTGTTGCCGGATAGTTTCTCGCGATCTATGTAATTCCGGATTCTCTGCTGAATTTTATTATTGCACACGCTAGAGCGAATCACAAGTTTTAGAAGTTCAATTCTTTTCATTCAAAATTGTGTGAATTCAATTCGAAAGCGTGAAGAACCAATCCCAAAGAAACGTGGACGTTCGGAGGGATCACGACTTCTCAAGCAAGAAACTCAGGAGGAAAAACGACGGAAGTCTTTCCATGCAAATGAGGATTTTCTGTGTCTTATTTGCAATTGTCAAATGGCTTGATGTGCGGCCCTCGTGAGGGCTGGGAAAGGAAAACTCCCTCGATGCGTTTATTCCATTTATTCTGGAAGGACTTACGGGTGAGTAAAATGGAAGAACTCCAGATGGCCAATGTCCATCTGGGCACAACAACAACACAGAATTGCTTTCTGAGGGAAAAAAAGCTTCATCCTACAGCCTCTCCCCTCTCTCGACCTCGCCGACTCGACTCTCGTAGAAAAAGTGCAGATACGAAACAATCCTAGATACATGCATTCGATTAGGAAAACGGGAATAATAATTAAAAATTTGGGGGAAATTTCGATATTCGAGCTCAACTATGATTTCCCTTTGATTCTGAGCCGTGCCGAATCTGCAAGAGAAACTGAGACATGCTCTCGAGCGAGCACTACAGTGTCAATAACGAAAAGAGGATGAGGAAAAGAAGTGTCTTCACCACACTTTTCTCCATCTTTCCCCTCGCCTGACTCATCGTACCGGCGCAGGCCTCTACTCACATCCTCCACCTCCCCCCATCCCTCCTCCTCCTCCTCCTCCTCCATCCTCCTCCTCCATCCTCCTCCTCCTCCTCCATCCCTGGAGGTCTCGAGAGGCAGCCGCGGTCGCCTCAGCTGGCGCCGAGCGGCGAGTCATCCAGTCGGGAATAGTACTTGACGTTGTGCGTGGGGTTGATGAGGCTCGCGTCCTCCACGCGCGGCTCCTCGCGCTTCCCCGTGAGGACGATCTCGAGGAGACGCTTCGCGACCGTGAGCCAGGCGGGGGTCACTGCGGTCACCGAGACATTTTTTTATTGATTAAATACACATTATTTAAATATGAATAAATTATTTTCCTTTTTTTTATTGATCAATTACACATTATTTAAATATGAATAAATTATTTTCCGCTTTTTTATTGATCAATTACACATTATTTAAATATGAATTATTTT